TAGGACCAGACCTTTGATGCCCGTGACTTGTCTTTGTGAATGTCACTCTTGGAGGGGCGGGGGAGGGACACTCAAGCCAGCTCCAGGATCCTCCTGGCTGGCTGGACCAGAGACTGAGTTGGGGACAGAGATGCTGGAAGATCCAGGATGTTACCGCTTTGGGGTGTCTGATAAGGCCACATGGTGTGGGACACGCAGCGGTGGACAGAAGACCTTGCTTCCTCCCGCGTGCACCTCTCTACGGGGCTGCTTCAGTGCCTTACAACATGGCGGCTGCCTTGGCCAGAGCGAGTGCTTCCACGTAGAAGGTAATGTTCTCTGCTCAAGCCTCGGGTGTCATAGACCATCACTGCTGCTGAATTCCATCAGCCACACCTGACGACACTGACACAATGTGAGGGTGGGGGGCAGGCTACATATGAGTGGCCATCGTAAGATGTGAAGGACCCTGGGGGCAGCTGCCTCTCGAGACAGATAAGCTATAGGATTATAGATTACAGCAGTGATTTGAGTGAAACAGAAAATAATGGGAGCAGGAAAGGTCCATGTCTTAGTTCCAGTTTCTCCAAAAGCAGAGCCTGAGACAAGGATTTGGGTGCAGGTGGGTTATCTAGGAGCTGATTTCAGGAAGCAGGGAGGGAGCAAGACAAAAGAGATAGGGAAAGGAGAAAAGCAAATAAAGGTGTTTCGGGGAGCCGGTGACCTCTGTAACCCCTGGGGACCCTCTGGGGTCCTGAGCAAGGCATACCTCAGCATCGTCCCTCTGAAGCCAGGAGGTTAGGGCATCCAACTACCAATTTCCATCTGTTCTTCATCGACTGAATGGGCCATTAACTCGCCCTGCACTGCAACCTCCACCCCACAGCCCCCTAACACAGTATATCTGGGTTAGACAAACTGCCAACGCTTTGGAAAAAGCCAGAAAGACAAAAGCTGAGTGGTGAGTTGGCATGGGGCCCAAGATGCTGCCGGTCTGTTCCAGAACCGTTCATGACCCACAGCGGTAGTCAAAGTCCCAGGTAGTCTGAGTGGGCGTGGCTCGGACCACTTCCCAAGGCGGTGCCTTCCAAGCTGGAGCACTTGAATCTGAATCAATGTGCAGAGGATGTGGGAACAGCAAGGGAATGGTGAACTGGGCCGTGCAGAGACCGCCAGGGCAGTGTGGCAGGGATGGCGGGTGGGGGGCGGGGGGAGCCCGGGGAACAAGGTTAGAGACACAGGATGGGGCCAGATCATGCAGGTCCTTGCAGGCCACAGTGGGGAGAGGGGTTCTTCCAGGGAACTAACTCACTGTGTGACCTCAGGCAAATTCATGCCCCCTCTGTGCCTGGTTTCCTGACTGATGTGAGGATACCTCTGACAACAGAGATCAATGCTAAGCAGGGTCGTCCAGGAAATACATGTCAGGCATGTTGTGTATTTCATCCCGGAGGGTTCAGCGCTCTGCCTCTCTCCTGACAGCCCTTGTCTCTCTGTCCCCGTGTCCTCCAGCTTCGAGCAGAGTGCAAAGGTCATGAGCGTTCCTAGTCAGACCACAGCAACCAAGCACCCTGCTGGGCGGCGGGACCAGAGCCTTCGCAGGTCAGTCCCCAGTGCCCTTGGCCGTATGGCCAGCACACCCCTCGGACCACCCCCCAGCTGGACCAGCCTGTGTCGTGCCTCGGCCGCGAGCATCAAGCCTCTGTGCCAGCACACTTCGCTCCTGCTGTTCCACTTGCTGGAATGCCTTCCCCCACTTCGGCTGCTTCTGTGCCCTCCTCACACTTCAAGATGCACCTCCCCTCCGCCTGAAAGTTTCCCGATTCCCCTGGCACACACACCCCCTCCCACCCGCCCCCTCCTTCCCCACTTGTCAAGCCTAAAATGGTAGGCAGGGTTCTCAGTTTACGGACTTGTCTCCCCACGGGGTCCATCCTCTAGCAGGACACAGTGTGATCGGGGGTTACACCTGCCGCTACTATTTGCCCTTCCTTTCTCCTTCTGCCTGGCTGAAATGACGTTACTTACTCATTCGTGAGTTTGTCTGTTTTCCCCAACTACAGTTTTCCAGGAGGAAAGGGAGCTCTTTTTTCCCTTTGTATCCCGTTGCCTCACAGGCCCAACTAATATCTGCGGAAGAGTTGAATGACTGACCTTCCCATCCCTGGGCCCATACAATGTCATAATAACAAACTTATCGTCTCCCGAATAGTGACTGTGCCCCATCTCTAATCCTTACAATAGCTTGATTTGCTCCAAAATGTGTACCATCATCTTCTATACAAATACATATGTAGGTGTATTATATGTGTTAATACACATATATTAATATATACATTAATTCTTATATTAATGTATAATATTATATATTAAAATATAACTAAATCTATGTATACGTTTAACTATATCGCATAATATATAACACATATATAATCATTGTATGAAATATAGGTACACACATTCACGTAGCAGATACTTGTCAAGCTCTTATGGTGTGTCAGCCCCTTGGCTCAGAACTTTACAAATATTCATTCATATTCGTCCCAAAACAGCTCTCGTAGTAGGTTGAATGGCAACTCCAGAAAGTTATGTCTGGTCCCAGCTTCCGGAATCTGTGACTGTGACCCTATTGGAAAAAGGGTCTTGACAAATGTAATTAAGTCAAAGAATTTGAGGTGAGATCATCCTGGATTATCTGGGTGGGCCCTAAATCCAATGACAAGGGTCCTTAGAGGGGACAGAGAGGAAGGGGAGGCCATAAGAAGATGAAGGCAGAGATCGGCAGGGTCCAGCCACAAGCCAATGAACTCTGGAGCCACCTGGAGGTGAAAGGCAAGGAAGGACCCTCCCCTAAAGCCGCAGGGACAGCCTGACCCTGCCACACTTTGATTTCAAACTTCTGGCCTCCAGAACTGTGGGCGAATACACTTTGGTTGTTTTAACTACCCTGGATTACGAAAATTTGCCACAACAGCCCTAGATAGCCAATAGAGCTCTATCAAGTGTCATTACTGTACCCATATTATAGATAAGGAAAATGAGGCATGGAAAGATTGAGCAACTTGCCCAAGAGCACACAGCTAGTGAAAGGTAGAGGCCAGATTCAAATCCAGAGTCGGTGCTCTTACCCATGATGCTCAGCAGGGAGAGGTTACGTGCGTTTGGCCACCATCCCTCAGCCGGTAAACGGCAGATCCAGGATTCGAACCCATTCTGACTGCAGAAGCGTCACCTTCCCCTGAGGCTGTAGCACCATTAGCTTCCCAGTCCCTCCCTATGGGGTCCTCTCTCATGAAGCGGGGGTAGGGGGGAGGGACAGGTCTGTGTCTGGGACTTCCCCTCCCAATTGGACCATCCCCCTGGCCCACTGGGCCCCAGGTTGTTCTACAAAAGACCATGATTTACAAATCGCAGCCCGACACCTTTTCGCTTTATCTTCCCACAATTAAGCAAAGGCTGGTGGTGACAAACGGCCCCCACGTCCATGGCACCACCGCTCCTGGGACTCTGCCCTCATCTGCAGACCTCTGCAGCTAATTCATCGTCTTCTGGCTGCCCAGGTTGGAGTTGATAAATCAAGCTAGCTTTCGAGCCAATTACAGGGTCATCACTCAATGGAGAGAGAGGGTTGCCCGGAGTTTCTGAACTTCATATTTTATTAGAACGGCTGGCAGTGCAGAGCCACTGACCTCGGGAGAAGCATGGCTTCCGATTCATCAACACAGCCCACCTGCCCGGACAAGGGGTCGCCTCTCCCCATTCTCTCCAGGGGTTGGCGTTCAGCCCTCAGTGAGGGTCCGTGGACGCAGCAGTAGGAGGCTCCAGACTCCCTCCATCCTCTCCCAGAGCTGCCCCGTAGCCCCCTTGCTTTCTTGTCTCTGAGAATACAGCAGGTCATAGCCCCACGCCAGGGCGGGGGTGGCTGTTGGGAGTGTGGCACTTACAGCTTAGACCTCGACTCCATCGCTCACTAGTGTGTTGTGACTATGCGCAAATTACTTACCTTTTGTTGGCTTTAGTTTCCTCATCTGTGAAATGGGTCCTGAGGATTAAATGAGATAATACTTGCAGAGCCCTTGACTTTACACATGGTCCCTGGCTTTCAGAAAATTGATTTCTCATCACATAGCACACCTGTTATGTTTCTGGGCAACTCAGAGAAACAAGAGATGGCAAATGACAGCTCTGTGCAAAGTGGGGCCTCAACCACTCTCTGAAGAGAGGCATGGGGACCACCCAGTCTCCTTTGGGGTTCTTGGGGTCAAGGCTGCCTTCAGTTGGGGTGGGCACACTGGCCATTATGGCTGTGCCCTCCCTTCCAGCCCCTTGATCTCCTGGGTGCCAGGAGGGGAATAGGCAGCCCCCTTGCTCTCATTTCATCCCTGTATAAAGATAATAATCAGGGGCGCCTGGGTGGCTCAGTCGGTTGAGTGTCTGACTTTGGCTCAGGTCATGATCTCACAGTTCGTGGGTTTGAGCCCCAGGTCGGGCTCTGTGCTAACAACTATCTCAGAGCCTGGAGCCTGCTTCAGACCTTCAGACTCTATATCTCCCTCTCTCTCTGACCCTTCTCTGCTCATGCTCTCTCTCTCTCTCTCTCTCTCTCTCCCTCTCTCTCTCTCTCTCAGAAATAAATAAAGCATTAAAAATAATAATAATAATCACAGTTCTTGAGTGTGAAGCACTTACCTTGCTATGTAAGCAAGGATTGGGCTCTGCTTCAGAAAATAAAGAACTTGACCGATGATGGCTTGAACCAATGGTTCCCAAGGTGCACCTTATACCCATACCAGCACTGCCAGCATCACCTGGGAACATGTTAGAAACAAAATAGAGGCCCTCTCCCAGGCCTATTAAATCAGAAACCTTGACACTGCAGCCTGGCTCTCTTTGTTTTTTAACCAGCCTTCCAGGCAATTCTAATAGAAGCCAGACTTTGAGAACCACTGACTTAAACACACATAGAGGTAAAATGTCTATCCCTTAGGATAAATCCAAAAGTAGATAGTCCAGAGCCAGTGTGACATCTCCATCTTTTTGTTCCACCATCTTCAGTACGTGGATCCATTCCCAAGATGACTTTGTACTCCAAGATGGTTGCCAGAGCTCCAGCCATCATGTTTGTATTCCAGGCAAGAAGGAGAATGAAGCAAGGAGGAAAGAGCGATAGGCTCTATTGAGGGAGATGAACTCCACTGCCACGCCAACAGCTTCCACTTGTATCTCATGGGTCAGCCGTAGCTACAAGAGACAACAGGAACTATGATCTTTTATCCGGGCACTTTGCTGGCCCAATAAAGAATTCTGGGCCTGTAGGTAACACAGAAGGGAAAAACGGACCTTGAGTGGATATCTAGCAGACTCTCACACAAACACTGCCTCCTCTAATCTTCTCAGCGACCCTCAGAGGGAAATGTGATTATTCCCCCCACCTTACAAGTGAGGGAAATGACCTTCAAAGAGATCAAGGTCAAGTCGCTAGAAGGAGCTAATTAGCCTGGGCTGAATGACTTCATTTCTTGCCTGGTACCCTTAGCCTTGCTTCGCACCTGCAGGGGCCCCTCGGGGGGAGGGACTCAGGGGCTTGTGTGATTTTTTCCCCCCTTCTCCAGGCCCCAACGATTTAGCCGCCCCTCCCTCCCAGAGCCAGAAGGTTTCCAGGCCTGAGTGGGGTGGAGGATGGAAAGACCAGAGGGGAGGGGTCAGGCCCTCTCCAGCGCCCGGGAAGCCACTTCCACTTCCAGAGGTAAATAGTAAAACTTAATTAGCAGGTCGCACGTGCCAGGCAAGTAATCCTCAGGCTGTCAGGGGCATCTGTTTCCCTGCGCTCAGAGAGACTGTCGCGAGCTGCCTTCTGCACCGGCGTTGAAGCTCACGCCCGCCTGCACGGATGGGGCTCGCCCAGCTAGCGAGGGCCAGGGCGCGGGGCTTCCTTTCCCAGGCCGTGTCCATGGGGTGCTTTCTAGAGAATTCCTCTGACCCCGATCCTTTGAGGAGCCCAACGTGTGGCCTCAAACAATAGTGCAGTCGGAGCACTAACTGCCAGAGACTCATCCCTCATCATACAGAGTTGAAGAAATTTCTAGAAAATGGAACTGATGGGGAGTAGGGAAAGAAAGCAGGTTCAGAAACAAAAGGAACAAGTCCAGAGCCTCAGTTTAGGTGGGGGGGGGCTCCCTCAGTGTTGGGGGAGCCCAGAAGAGGTGAGCTGTGGATTGGGGTTGCCGGCTCGGCCCCCTACGCTCCTCTGAAAGTTTGGTCTTTCCCTCTTGGCAGCCAGCCAATTGCAGGCTTTGCAGGTCGCTCCCTGGAGTCAAGCACCGCCCTGCCTTTTGGGTTTAGAATTACCCACTTGCCACTTTGTCAGGGGAGCACATCCATGCCCAGGTGTGCACTGGGAAGGGAGCTCGGGGCCTTTTTTCTGGGTAAGAAGGCTTGAGTCTCTCTTCTAGAAGGAGGCAAAGGAAGAGACACAGGTACCTGAGATGGAGAAGTATAGGCACCTGGTTGAACAAATACAGGAATGCAGGCCAAATTTCCCTCTGTCCCCTACCAACCGTGAGCCTACGCAACTTGGTGTATCTAGGCCTCTGTAAAAAATGAGGATGCCCCAATTATATGTCTTAACTGTGCTAAACTTTGGATTACCCACTTTTTTAAATGTTTATTTATATTTTGAGAGAGGGAGAGAGAGAGAGAGAATGCACCAGTGAGCAGGGGAGGGGCAGAGAGAGAGAGAATCCCAAGCAGGCTCCTCGCTGTCAGCACAGAGCCTGATGTGGGGCTCGATCCCACAAACTGTGAGATCATGACCTGAGCCAAAATCAAGAGTCTGACGCTTAATCGGCAGAGCCCCTCAGGCGCTCCTGATTGCCTACTTTTAAGTAGAGCCTGTGCATTGCATTTAAAAGTTTTTTTTCTGTATAGTATGATGTTTTGCCATCTTATAAAACCTTTGGGGTCCTCGGCCAGCCAATCTAGAGGTAGCAAAGGGCCCAGGTGGAGGGAGCAAGCCTTTGATATGCAAACGAGCCTCTGCACCCAGGAGGCGTCATTTCTCTGCCTTCATCATCCCAGGGCTAGGTGCCCGGCAGCTAGAGACCGACTACCCCTACAGCCCGAAGCCTGCAGAAAGGATTCCTACTAGCCATTCTAGGCTGTTCTCCTTGCCCTGCTTTGTCTTTGGCCTTCGGAAACCCCACCCAGCCCCAAATGCCTGACCCTGTCCACACTGGTGTCTCCCCAGTGGCTCTCCACGGTGTGCCGTCCCTCCCCTCTCTAGGACCTGTGAGGACAATAAACATTGTCTGGATGCAGAAAGCCGGGGGGCGGCCAGCCAGTCTCAGCAGCCTCCACTGCTCAGAAGACCCTTCCGTGCGGTCCACCCTATACCAGGCTCCGGATGCCAGTTCTCTGAGGCCAGCCCGCCAACCCCCAGCTGCATCCAAGGGCCCCCCTTACTCCAGCTCACCATTCCCGGGGTCCCTCTTGCGTCGGGTGGCAGCCAGGTTTCTAAACTGGGCCCCAAGGTTCCTGACTGCGGATTATTCAATCAGACGCTAATCTAGGTGTTGCCGTCAGGATTTTGCAGATGGGATTAAAGTCCCAGATCAGCTGCACTTAAAACACGGAGATGATCTAAATGAGGCTGACGGAACCACAGGTGGAATATTGTCCCACCAGCTGCCAAAGGGGAAGTCACACCGACCTTGGAGAAGGCAAGCAGCCTTGCTGTGAGCATGATGCTCATGGAGGGGAGCACCTCTCGAGGTTCAAAGCAGCACCCCCCCCCGCTCCTAACTACCGGAATTCAGTAACCTTGGCCCAACAGCCACAAGGAAATACGTTCCGCCAACGACGAGAGAGCTTGAGACCAAACGCTGAGCCGTAGGAGAGAACCGTAGCCCCAGATGCCTTCATTTCAGCCAGTGAGACCCTGAGCAGCGAACTCAGCCATGTCAGGCTCGATTCCTGATTTACACACCTGTCAGCGAAGAAGCGGGTGTTGTTGAATCTGCTCAGTTTGTGGGGACTTGTTATACAGTGAAAGGAAATAATAGAGTCTACCTGGAGCACCCGTCTTTCTCCCCCACCCCCACAGGCCCTGCCCTCCTTCACAGACCCAGATTAAGCCTTCATTTCCACACTTGACGTCTTTTCAACCTTCAGGAGGGCCCAAATCAAAGGCCACTTGGGCCATGAATTTCCCCCAAGCCAGAAGTAGCCCTCTGGTGCCTATCTTACCATGCTTGCCCCCTCCCATGCCCTGTACCCAACGTTATAGCCACGTTCTGCAAATTCACATTCTCAGAACACACATGCATTTCCAAACCCCCGGGCCTTTGCACATGCTGTTCTTTCTGCCTGGAGTGCTCTCTTCTTACCCTGCCCCCTCAGTTCAGATGCTTCAGAATCCTTATCACCTCTTCACGGCAGCCTTCCTGGAGAAGAGAAAGTCACTACCACCGGGGGGGAGGGGCCAGCTCCATCATATTTTGCACCTTTATCAACTCTAGGACAATTTGTCTGTCTCCCTCCTGAAGTTCCTCAAGTGCAAGTGGCCTTGTTTCATCCTTCTTTCTGGGCTGGACCTGGTGCCTGGCACTATCAATAGCTGCATGAGTGAAGGACCCTTGCCCCACCTGACTAGCTCCCCCGTCCACCACCAAGATGCAAACCCAGTTCCCAGGGCCTGGGTCAGGGTTGGACAATGCAGCACCCCACACCCCTCATTTTTTGGAGGTGGATCAGACTCTAATAGACACCACCCCCCCCGCCAGCTGTTGTCTGGCCTAATGGAGAACAAAACAGCTTCCATCGAGCTGTAGGGAAGGATGTGATGGGAAAGAGCCCATGTAGGTCAGGGAACCCATAGTCCACTGTTGGGAGACAGGCCTGTGGTTGGCCTGCTGTACCTCCCTCAACCCCAGGACTGCTTGCCTGAGTTCCACAGGCCCCGGTGACATCCTCAGCCAAACCCTCTGGGCATTGGGACTGGGCAGGGTCAGCCAGTCAATAAGCATCTAATTCTGGGGGTGCTGGACCCACAGAGGGGCATGGCTAGGGAGGCCCCAGGTGTCCTGAGGAGCAAGGTGAGCAGTGGTCTGGGGGTTCCTGAAGCTGGCCACCATCCACTTTAGCAGGAGAGGCTGCCAAGGATTCCCTCTGATGGCACAACGACCCTTTGTAGTTGACACCCTGCACAGCCCACAGTCTTGGGGACCAGTGACCTGCTTGTAGCATAGTGAACTCAGGGTCTGACAGCCTGAGCTTTGCGAACTATTGATGCGCAAACTATGGCAAATCATTTCATTTCTCTGAGCCTCAGCTAACGTGGCAATAAATGAGGGGTTCATAATAATAATGTACGGAGGATGAAATGAGACAACATGCGAAAAGGTTAAGCACATGCCTGACATATAGAAAATACTGAATAGATAGTAGCGATGATGGTCACAGTGGTCATGATGGTGATGAAGGTGATGGTAATGGTGATGATGAGGGTGATGATGATGATGGTGATGATGATGATGGTGATGAGGGTGATGATAATGATGGTGATGATGATAATGATGGTGATGATGGTGGTATTGAGGGTGATGATGATGATGATGGTGATGGTGGTGATGATGATGGTGATGATGGTGATGGTGATGGTAATGATGATGCTGCTGATGCTGATGCTGATGGTGACGATGGCGATGATGGTGATGGTGATGATGGTGGTGATGAGGGTGATGAGAGTGATGCGGGTGATGATGATGGTGATGATGATGGTGATGATGGTGATGAGGGTGATGATGATGGTGATGATGATGGTGATGAGGGTGATGAGGGTGATGATGGTGATGATGATGATGATGGTGGTGATTATGATGGTGATGATGATGATGGTGGTGATGATGATGATGCTGGTGGTGATGATGGTGGTGATGATGATGATGCTGGTGATGATGATGGTGGTGATGAGGGTAATGATGGTGATGATGGTGATGAGGGTGATGAGGGTGATGATGATAATGATGATGATGATGGTGGTGATGAAGGTGATGATGGTGATGATGATGATGATGGTGATGATGATGATGATGGTGATGATGATAATGATGATGATGGTGGTGATGAGGGTGATGATGGTGATGATGAGGGTGATGATGGTGATGGTGGTGATGAGGGTGATGATGGTGATGATGATGATGATGGTGGTGATGAGGGTGATGATGGTGATGATGATGATGATGGTGATGATGATGATGGTGACGGTGATGATGATGATGGTGACGATGGTGATGGTGATGATGATGATGAGGGTGATGATGATAATGATGATGATGATGGTGGTGATGAGGGTGATGAGAGAGATGGTGATGATGATGATGATGGTGATGGTAATGGTGATGATGATGATGGTGGTGATGATGGTGGTGATGGTGGTGATGATGATGATGATGGTGGTGATGATGATGATGACAGTGATGATGGTGACGATGGTGATGATGGTGATGATGATGGTGGTGATGATGACAGTGATGATAGAGATGGTTCTTCCATCCTCTGCTTCTACATTCAGGCACATCCCAACCCAGCCTTAACAATAAGTTCAGAGGGAAGTTCCCTCACACCCTAGAAAAGGGACTTATGAGGGTCTGAGATGCAGGAGGTGGGGTGTGTGGTGGCAGAGGAACCCCCTGCTCCCCTAATACGTTGCCTATATTTCCCAGATCTCTTGCACGGAGTAGGGCCATGCGATTGGTGCTGATCAACAGGCAGAAGTGGTGAGTGTTACTTCTAGGCTAAAGGGTTTGAAAGCTGGTTCTCAACCTTCTAGTTATTCCTTCCGTGATCATGGAGTCATGTGGCGAGGCAGCAGAAGCTGTTGGCATCACTAAGTCAGTACATGGGGACCAGGTGCCCCCGAGGGCCCCTTCATCCACACAGGACTTTCCACAGGGACAAATGGGTTCAGGCAAGGCCACCTTGCTGTTGCAGCATACCCTAGCCCCTCCTCATCAACAGGACGGCTGAGCTTTTTGATGCCATGCTGGATTAGCCTGTGGGATGAGGAGCCTATTTCTAAGTATAATGATGCATTGAAAGAATGCTTTAACAGGCAGGCTCTGTTACAGAGGAGCCAAAGCCATTTGTCTTAGTGGGGGGCTTGTCTACCACAAGGTTCCCAGGGCCAGTGCCACCACAGGAAGACCAGAATCCTACAGAAGGAAGGTGAAGAGGTGGGGAAAGGGGAGGAAAACCAGACAGCAGAAGCTACCTGACTCCCATCTCAGGAGGTGAGTGGACTTCCTTTCCCAGGGAAGGAAGAGCAGCGAGTGCTTTATACCGTCTTCGGCCTTGGGTGAGTTTGTAAGCAGCTTGTAGGAGAGGCTGCAATGCCTCTCCTCTCCCCCTTCACCCAGTTCTGAGGGCATAATACAGCGGGGCAGGGGTGGGGGGGCGTGCTCTCTTTTAAAGAACATCACCTACCTTTTGAGTCCAAGCAGAAGAGAAGAAGGAAATGCAATCCCCAGCTGGCATTCGGCTCCACTAAGTCCCATTACTGGGGAGCACTCAGGACCTGGTCCTGGCCCAGCCCCTCCCCGAGGCGGCCGAGATGGGCGGCTCTGCATCCCAGCCACCAGCCAAGCGCAGCTCATTTGCTTCAGAACCTTAACAACAAACACACAAACCCTTCGAAAGCCAGGGGCCTCTGTCTCCCTCCTCCCATGGCTGATGGGGGAGCGGGAGGAGGCTGAGGTTATTGAAATGCTATTTTAAACTCCAAGTCAGTGTTAACCAAAACCTTGAGGCTGATTAAACACGACCTTTGGGCCACGGGGCTCCAGCTCAAAAGGCAAACAGCTTCCACCCTCTCAACAGCTCCAGGCTTGTTTATTGGTTTGAAAGCCCTTAAGGGGCCCGCCAAGCAGAGGGGTGAGCTGGGGAAACTTTAATATCTAAAGGGAGAGATCAAAAGCAGTTGACATTTCTGGCAGAGAGCAAGCACGTATGTATCTTTATATGTATAATGTTATAGCCGAGCAGAAGGGAAAAGGCATTTCTTCTCTGAGTTAAATCAAATCAGGCCACATGTTCTTGATCTTGACTGTGTTGTCTTGTAATCTAACCAAATTTAACTGACATTGAGCATTTCTGCTCTGAACAGTTAACATGGAAATTTGGCCCAAATAACTTTATATACATTCTGAACATGAACTCGGTTCAATCATCAGAAATGATGGGAAAGGGCCCTCCCAGCTCCCCTCCAGGGAGCCCGGCAGAGGGGCGGCTGGTGGGTAAGGCTCCCGGCTTTTCATCATCCCTCCTGCCAATGGAGTTGCTGGGGAAGGCACCCCAGCATGTGGGCACACTGTTTCCACATCTGCCCCTGGGGCCCTGTGATCATTTTCCAGCCATCCCAAAGAAAGGAGATGATCTTGGGGCGCCTGGGGATTCAGTCGGTTAAGCATCTGGCTTCAGCTCAGGTCATGACCTCTTGGTCCATGGGTTTGAGCCCCACATTGGGCTCTGTGCTGACAGCTCAGAGCCTGGAGCCTGCTTCAGATTCTGTGTCTCCCTCTCTCTCTATGCCTCTCCCCAGCTCGTTTTTTTCTGTCTCTCTCTGTCTCAAAAATAAATATTAAAAAAAAAAAAAAAAAAAGGAAGGAGACTATCTTGACTTGGCAAAAAGCATCTAATGGGCCCCGAGGTCCAGGAAGATCTCTGGAACGTATCTCTGGGATTGATCCACACTAAGGCTCCTGGTAAGCTCAGTGAGAGCCATTTTAGTGCAGTGTTGGGTGGAAAGCAAGGTGGCCTTGAATGATAGAAATGAGGTCCCTCCTCTAAGCTAGCACAGCACCTGGCACAGAGCAGGTGCTCAGTCAGCATTTGTGAAATAGATTTTGAATAAAGGAGAATGTGATTGCCTCAAGTAGCTCATTACTTGCTAGTCATTTCCTCTCCTTCTTCCTTGCTAATTGGTTAGAAGGGACAGATGAAATTGCAGTGCCCACTGCTTCCCCCTCCCCCCTTACCATGACAAGCAGCTAGTTGTCATCCGAATTCATCCCTCTCATTCTGCACTGCAGAAGTGTCCTGAGTGCCTGCCTTCGCTTCCGTCAGGATTTGGCTACATCCCTGCTTCTCATCAGTGGGGTATGAAAGGTGGTGCTGCGTGTCCCCCCGTGGGCCAAGATTCCAAGGAAGTGACTTCTCTGTGCTCTCTCTGGATGGGTATGGTGGACAGAGATGGGCCCCTAAGGGATACCAAAGCTACAAGATGGAAGGAGCCTGGGTCCTCAAAGCACCATGTAGAGGTGATCAGAAACACCAACATTGGAGTGTTGAGGGTCCACAGGTCAACTTCTATTGTGTTAAGCACTAATATTTGGGGGATTATTTGTTACAGACCTAGCACTACCCTGATGAATACACTAACTTTTTTCCAAATGTTATTTATATATTTATTTATTTTAATTTTTGAAGAGATGGAGACAGAGCATGAGCGGGGCAGGGGCAGAGAGAGGAGACACAGAATCGGATGCAGGCTCCAGGCTCCAGGCTCCAAGCCATCAGCACAGAGCCCGTCACGGGGCTTAAACTCACAAACCGGGAGATGATGACGTGAGCCAAAGT